TTCCATTGAATTGAGTCATTTAGTAATCTAATAACATTACATAATATGTCGGTTGTAATTCAATTTACTAGTTGCAAAGAGACGTAGAGAGGAGTTAATCACATTGTAAGGGTCAGTTCACACTGAATTTGATGCGGCACTCACTTGATCAGACGGTGACACGAAATTAAACTATATTTACTTCACAAAAAGATACACACTTCGTTGAGAGGATCAAAAAATGATGTGCGGTGCGGGAGAGGCCTATGTCGAGCAGTGTACTGATGCGGGTTGGTCAGATCCGTCTTTCCCAGTGGCCACTTTGGGCAAGTGCACAGGGCCCCGCGATCAATAGGGGGCCCCCTCAGATCAAATACAAAGTCCCTAGTTCCTGTTAAATCACCAAACGAAAGTCATAGGGGCCCCATTATCCTAATATGCTCAGTCAAAGACGGCATTGGGGTTGGTGATAATGATTTATTTACTGGTTACTATAATGATATTTTTTGGTTGTCAAATTTAGAATTATTAGCAGAAAATACTTACAAATTTTCAACGGACACTGGGTGGGGACAAAAGCGCGGGGTCTGTTAGTAACAGATCCTTAGAAAGTGTACACCGCGTCTCTGTGTGAAGTGACCCTGAGTATTGGACACAACACAACGTAGCTACTACAACATAATGTCGTTCTTATTAAATCAAATAACTCTGCCCTCAACTATTAATTCTATTTATGCCTCTGCCTTCGCTGAGAAAATATTTTCTAGGGAGTGGAAAAAGATAGTAAATTATATCGTTAACAAAGGTTTTATGTCATTGTTCTAAGCAAGTACCTATATTATTTATAATAGCTGATAAATATTTTGCCACTTTGGTTACAACTTTCACAAAATGTCTTAAAACGCCTTTAGAATACAATATTACAAAAAATGCCCTTTGGAAAATGCAGTCGACATTCAAAACTATTCTAAGTTTGAGTTTAACTTTCACGAAATGTTTTATCTCAGGTAAACCCTGGAAGGAGCTCGATGGCGTAGTTGGCTAACGCGTTCGGCTACGATCGCTGAAGTTAAGCAACTTTCGCAGTGGTCGGTTATTGGATGGGTGACCAATAATCTTCTATTTCGAATTCCTCCGTGCTTCGGAAGGCACGTTAAGACGTTGGTCCCGGCAGCATCTGCAGTCTTTAGCACCCGCCAATCCGCACTAGGCCCGCGTGGTGTGTCATGGCCCAATCTTCCTATTCCATCCATAAGGAAGGCCTGTGCCCCAGCAGTGGGGACATACATAATAGGCTGATGATGACGATGATGATGAAACTCTGGAAGGGAAAATTCTGAACAGGTATATCTTTTTAACAACATTTTATTAATACAAGAAAGGAATAAATCATAAAATGCAAACATAACAATATAGAAGAGATACGGATACAAAATGGCGATAATAAACCTAACCGCGGCTGCATCTTCAATTAAAAATGCTATTACTGTGATGAACAAACTGTTCACATAATCACAAGTACATACGGATCCGTATCTATACCCTTAGCCAATATCGAATTCGTAACGACATATCGAATGACATTTCGGACTCGCAAACTATTCGAATTCGATAAAGGTTCGTACTAGGGGTACTGATTTTTTAGTTCTCGTTACGTTCTTTGTGGCACCGCTGTTCATGTTTCCATACATTTTGCACTCGCAAACTATTCGAATTCGATAATTGTTCTTGCTAGGGGTACGGTACGCGTGTCCGACTCGCACTTAACCTTTCAGGTAAAACAGAATCTTAGTGCTGCCACTCTGTCGTCTGTCTGTCCATATGTCACGGGTCTCTAGATTTATTTGATTGATTAAATAGAATGAGTCTCAGAACTGTCATTTTGGTGTTTTTAATATCGCACGTCACAAACAATAGGGTATTAAGTCGGAAAATTCGTTTTCTTTTTTTATTTGCGTTTCGAAAACTACGTTTTTAGATAGATAATTGTATTTTCATTCTAAATAGTTTTTGAATTATAGCAACACATATCTTTCATGACTGTTCATGAACGTCATTTTTGAGACAGTCAAGACAGTCGCATGTTAGTTATAATCCGTCCAGACTTCAATTTCTAGGCAAAATATAGGATTGTGAGTATTCTAAACAGTATTATGTTAAGTTAATACTCTATTGCCCGTTCGGATTATATATAAGTTTGAAGTTTTATTTAAAATAATACCCTCTGGCCTGTTCAATTTTATTTAATATGTTATTTTCAACGAAATTATTTTAAAATGATACTTTATAGCCACCGATTTGCTTGAGATAATCCTATACTGCTTGTCAATTTTATTCTGCGGTTGGGAGTTTCAAGTTCATTATACTACCTTTTAAGGAAAACATAACTGCTGTTCTTAAAAATATTAACATAAATATTTTATACACACTAGCAAAAAAATGGCCACCTAAGGAATTTTTCGGTATATGGTCGATTTCAGTTAGAGTCTGTGCGGAAAGAGAATGGGCGTGGCGAAAAACGGAACTAATATTAAGATTTTTATTTGGCAATCAAACCCAGCAATCTGTAAAACGTCAAAGTTTTGTATTGATACGGATTTGTTTGTTGTAGTGATTTCTTGCGGTTTATTGTATTTAATCATGTCTAAAAGGGGTAAAACCTTACAAATACGGTAGAAAAGCACTACAGCGCCCTCCAATCTAAATCCCATTCTCTTTAGGCACAGACTCTAATTCAATGAAATTTAATTATTTAATGTAGTCTGTATACTTATAATCGTCTTAATTAATATGCGTGAAGAAATTTCTGGCAATTGTTTTTATAAATTTCGATAATTCTTTAAAACCGATGTACACGGTCAAACAATAAAAAGTGGTCGCCAATAAAGACAAGAAGATTGTTTTTCTTTTTTTATTAAATAAAGTTAAAAATGTAAAAACCTAATAATGAGTGTGACCTCTTTCCAAAACTTGTGGCATACCTAAAATCCTTCTGGGCATGCTTTTCACGATGTTTTCAATAACATTTGAGGAATACGATCCCACTGTTCTGCAATGACTCTTTTTATCTCCCTGATGTTTTGTGGAGCAGGTTGCATTGACCTTACCCGTCTCTTTAGAACATCCCAGACATGATAAATTGTATTGCGGTCAGGACTTTGCGCTGGTCAATCAAAACGACGCATACTAACTTCTTGCATGTACGCTTCCACATCGTCAGAACGGTACGGGCGAGAATTTTCATCCATATAAGTTGAACGTTCCTCTAGTGCGGGCTGTGCAAATGGAACCAGGACATCTTTTATGTACCGGTGTGCATTTAATGTTCCATTTTCTATGAAAAGTAACTCCATATACTCCGTCGAATTAATTAATGCTGCCCAAAACATAACGAAGCCTCCGCCAAAAGGAGTATATTTCTTCGAAACATGCTTCCGCATAGCGTTCTTTTGGTCATCGCAGCACTCGCTGGCGTCGGTCCTCTACACAAAACAGATTCGAGCTTCATCAGAAAACAATACTTTATCCCAGTCCTCCAGAGACCATTAAGCACAGTTTCGAGCAAACTGAAGTCGGGCAACACAGTGCTCACGCAGTAATTTAGGGTCCCGGGCTGGGCGGTAACTCCTGATATGGGTAGCCAAAAGCCTTCTCCTGAAGGTCCACAAACTTCTTCTCCTCTTACTTCTTCAATGCTCTTCTTCAGGTCTACAATTGACGCCTTACAATTCAGCAACGCCTGACTTACCAAAAAGCGGTCATCCCTAGGTTTTGTGCAACGTGTTCTTCCCGAACTGGGTCTTCTTTTGACCGAACCGGTCTCTTGATACCGTTGCCAAGTCCTCTGGATAGTTGAATGACATTTAGCCGCTGAAACCTTCTTAAAGTAGGGCTATAATTTTACTGGCCCTTATCGCTTTATCACTCATATCAGGAAGTGTTCATACCTATTTAATGCAAAAATAAATTGTTATTGATGAAATAATAGAAACATTTAAATAAGAAAACTAAAAAACTACTAAATGTTTACAATATACAACCCAAATTACCTTAACCTACTTAACTACTAAAATAATATAAAATTTATAAAATGAAAAGAAAGATTTTATTCTCTAATTTGCAATATCTTACCTATTGAAAATTCCTTAAAAGAAAAAATCAATAGTGACAAAGATGAAGTTATTGTAGCGTAAGACCTTGCATGCCAACAAAATCTTAAAAAAACTATTTAAAAACCACAATAAAATATCATTAGTTTCACAACGCTACCGCGACTATCAACGGCTACAGTACCCCTAGCACGAACTAATATCAAATTCGTATCGTTTGCAAGTCCGAAATGTCATTGTCAAATGTATACTGATTTTTAGTTCTCGTTACGTACTTTGTGCCGCTACTGTTCAAGTTTCCATGCAAAATTTGACATTGACATTTCGGTTTGCAAACTATTCGAATTCGATAGTGGTTCGTGATAGAGGTACAGCTTCTTAGTCGCGCTAACGTTACGTTTTATGAAAAGTATATAAGCACTTGAAAAAATCGGCGGTTATGCCGCATCATCCTCTTCTCAGGGGATGATCGCTTCAGATGAAGCTTTTAGTCAGTAAAAGTCTGACATAAACATGCAGCGGCTGTAACCCGCTCCCCCGCCTGGGAGGAAACAAAAAAAAATGGCGGTTATTTATCATTAGTATTTAAAAAAAATATATCGAATTGATTTTGAGTTCAAGACGCAGTTTGACTTTGTTTTAGGCATTTTAGTTGAGATACATAGATTGATATTAGTTGGTTTTTCTAATTTCCGATATAGAAAATAAAGACACCTGCTTAAATATTGTGGTAACTGCAGGCAACTACAGAACCCTACACTTGGCCGGATTTTTGTATTTGGCAAGTAGTTGTCGTCCATTATTGTGTACGAATCAGAAAATTGTTAAGGAACCGCACTGACAGCTTATTGATCCGGAACATGAAGAAATGTATTAACGAGTATTTTAATAAATGCAAGTTTATATACTCACGCCTCTGATATCAGCGCACGCAGCTTACAGAATACCAACCCCAGACTGTAGGGGTACTGGTGCCAGTACACTGTTAGGTCGTTGGGTAGGCCTGAAACAATAAGAAAAAAATATGTAATAAAATAAGAAAAATACGTATTTCTAATACTGTCAAAAATTAGTCAAGCCCCAAAGTATTCATTGTAAGGCTTGTATTATAGGATACTGGGGTGACGAACAGAATACCTAAAAAGTTAGGATTTTTACGAAAACGCGAGTCGCCTCAGTAAGATTGCAAAAAGAATCGTTTGCTTATTATAAAAAAATATTCTTGGGTTTATCACACAGGGTTAGGTTAGAGTTGTGATGTGATAATGAAGCCAAACAAATTTCGCTAGCAGTCAGTTTTAGCAATGTCGTCGCCATTGCCTAATTTTGTTTTCGTGTTTTCGCAAAATCTCTAGGATTTTCGAGAAAATTTTCATTTATCGTATCATCTTACCACATACATACCACTCACACCTTAAAATGTCACGTTTTGGTACAATTTTTACCTAATAGTGACATCACGAGCCCCCACTCCCTTACTTTGATGCGCTCTATCTTTGTAATTTTTTGGTTGATTGACCAAAGAAAAAGTACGTTTCCATTATTTTTCGATAATCTACTGACGGACAAAATAGAATTTCATTTAATTTACCCCGTCATCACCCCTATTCCAATTTGTTGGTGCTAACCAAGAGACTACAGTACCCTTAGCACGAACCAATATCGAATTTGTAACTTTTACGAGTCCGAAATGTCATTGTCAAATGTGTACTGATTTTTAGTTCTCGTTACGTAGGTTGTGGCGCCGCTGTTCAAGTTTCCCTACAATATTTAGCACAACATTGACATTTAGCACTCGCAAACTATTCGAATTCGATAATGGTTCTTGCTAGTGATACAGATGCAGATGCTTGGAGGACCTTGGAGATTTTCTTTTATACCTATTCTGTTTTTTTTTTTTTAAAAGTTTTTATTTATAAAAAATACAAATATACAAAATTACGGAAGTATAAGAAATTTGTTATTTTATGGAAAAATATTTGTTTTAAGAATGTTATCGCGCAAGTTCCGATGTTTTATATACTTTTTATATACATAATTCCTTCTTCTAGCATTACGAAAATTTCCGCCCTGTCTAAGTTACTAAAACTTTCACATTGTTATAGATGTAAAGAGAATTGACGCTGTGACCCGTAAGTTTTGCATCGGCTTGATGTCGGTTTTATGCAAACGGCAGTCGTGATATATTGGCGGATGTCTTCGCTTTGATCTTTCATAAAGTTGAGTCTGCACCAAACGAGGCGAGAGGCAAATACGAGCGTCGGCGCACGCTCCCAAAAGTCCTTCTCAATATTATTTGTAGGTTTGGTTATATGTTACTCGTCCATCCTAATATTAACTATTATAAAGGGGATAAATTCAAATGTTCGTAAAGTATAAAATCAAAAACTTCGAGACTCCATTTTTGAAAAATTATTTCATAATTATGTATAATGTTTCATATTTACTACGCGTTTGCTTCGAGATGGGAGCTTCCACCGTCCCCGCTTCACCGCACCGCACTCCTAGACAGACCCTATTAGTCGACCCTATTGGGCGAAGGTACCAGTCGGATTTTGTAACTATCATCGACGGCCAACTACAAGCAAACGGGCAGTATGTTCACCAGCGCAAAGCCAAGGCTGATCACTAGTATTATAATAAATGTATGTAACTCAATTACGTTAAAACGAATGAAAGGATTTCGATGAAATCTTACTATCTGATTTGAGAACTGCGATACATTTTACTTTGAAAAAAGGGGTTACTGTGATTTTCAAAAAACTATCTATAACCACACAAATCGCACGAGAAAGTTTTTAAACTAGCAAATCCTTGCATATTTGTCTAAAAACTAACAATCGGCGGGAAATAATCGAACTCGTTGAAATGCGCTTGTTACTCGTAGCTTGTTAGTCAGAGAATAGATGCAATACGAAGCTTGGGCAGCTCGGCTCCTGTTCGACTCGTCAAGCGTTGACAGACCTTTAGAAAAACATGTTTAAAAGTTTTAATGGTCGTACGTGGATGTGCCCATCGATCTGGAACCCAAGCACGAATTTTGACAGACCTTCAAAGCTGCTATGATAACAAAGCAGCCCCTCCCTACCAGAACGACAAGACATAAGAACAAACTGACTCTTTTCATACAAAATTTGACCATGCCGACAAAATTAGAGATCTGTCAAACTTCGTGCTTGGTCCTCAGTTATATTTCATCCTGATCTGTTCAGCCGTATTTGCGTGATTGAGTATGAAACTTACAAATTTTCACGTTTATAATATAAGTAGGATTAGAAGGATTGAACTTCTCATGCTATCCGAGCTTTTTTGTAAATAGTTCTAGATGTATAGGTAATAATGCAGTAAATCTATATATATATAACTCAAAGGTGACTGTCATGAATCCACGTAGAGCATGATAAAACTTTTTTGTTAAGTATATGCTCTTTTTAGTGATTCGGTTTTTATATATTTTTTTTGATAGCTGTCTACAGTAAGAAGAAAAGAATGTAGTTTTTGTTTTCCCATTATATTTAATTTTTTTCGTGTTTGTGATCTTTAATATAATTATTTTATCCCAAAAGACTATTTCATTTTATTAGTATCTTGGGCAAGCCGTAAGCCAGGTAATCGGCCAAAAGAACCTGGAAGTAGCGAATAAATTCTTCACATAATGGTGACCGTGAATGAATAGTACATTACGATACGCGTGACCTAAGTTGCCTATTACTGCACGGCGTGAAGTTACAACTTACTCGCTCCGCTCGGGCGCTAAACGTCGTGCAGTAATAGACAACTTAGGCCACAAGTATCGTATACTATTTTATAGCAAGTGTGACATAAACCCGCCCCGGACGCGGGAAAGAAGTTTTGAAAGTAAAATTCATGTATTGCAATCACAAAGAATTGCAATACAGACTGCAAGTCAAACTCTGAAAAGAAAGAATTCCGGTTCAGATTACCATTTTGAAAGTATATTTCAAAAGGAAAAAATCAAATATCATTACAACAAAATAACCTAACCTATCGCTAATTTGTCATTTGTTTGCTGTGAGTTTTTAAGCTCCAAATGACATTTAAATGTGTTTCCTTTTATTTTTTCTACATGAGTGAAGTTGGTCAATTCATTTTCATCCCACCACCTCGGAAAGTGTAATTTTGCGCTTCGAAATCTGGCTGGAAAATTCTATTTTATTCGCTTGAGCGGCAAAGTAGATTTGAATTTAGAACATCACATATAATGAGTACTCAATATAATTGTAAATTCAAAACGTCATTAAACCTATTTAATGTAACCTCTATGGTGCCAAATTTATGATTAGAACTTTTTAAATTGTGAAAAAATTTAAATTTGGAACCTTCTTGGTTTCTTTGTTTTATTTGCGTGCTTCGCGCCATTCTAGTTTTTCACGTTTTATTGCTTAATATAATTAACATAACCTAAAAACTGTACAAAAAAATCAACTAAAATGAGTGACATTAGCGACGATGAAGTTTATCTAACGCCAACTGAGTTAACTGAAACAGTTAATAATGCGCAAATGAGCCTTCTCCCTCAGCAATCACGAGAGAAGTATTTGAAACAGTACGATATATTTAACATGTGGCGACTAGCTAAAGGAGCAAAAACTTTCTCCGAAAACGTTTTGCTGGCATATTTTATAGAATTATCTGAGACCAAGAAAGCAAGCACGCTATGGAGTACGTATTCAATGCTAAAATTAACAATTAAGATGAAGAAAGACGTTCATATCGACACCTATCATAAATTAGTGGCATTTTTAAAAAGAGCCTCATCTGGTTATAAACCAAAAAAATCGAAGGTTTTCACAGCATCTGAAATTGCAAAGTTTATTAATGAAGCACCTGATTCCGTATATTTAGCGGCAAAAGTAAGTCAATACGTGTAATTTTTTGTTGTTGATAAAATTGTACATAGTACTTACAATATTTTTAATTTGATTAATTTATTTACGATTATAAATACTTCTTTTGTTACAGGTTGTTCTTATTATTGGTATAACCGGAGCATGTCGAACAAATGAACTTACACTACTTAATGTCAATAACGTATCAAAATATTCTCATAATTCTGATGAATTGCTATTAATTAATGTACTAAATACCAAGACAAAAAAAGACCGCAACTTCGTTATTCGCAAGGAATATGTAAACATTGTTCAGAAATATCAAGCTTTACGTCCTTCTAACACCCCAATTGAACGATTTTTTCTACAATATCGCAACGGAAAGTGTATCCGACAACCTATGGGTCAGAATAAAATTGGCAGTATTCCACGAGAAATAGCAACTTTTCTCGGACTTTTAGAACCCCCGTTATACACCGGTCACTGTTTTAGAAGAACCTCAGCCACACTTTTGGCCGAATCAGGGGCTGATCTTCTATCGCTTAAGCGCCATGGAGGCTGGAAGTCTAATTCGGTTGTAGAGGGATACATAGAGGATTCAATCCAAAGTAAATCAAAAATTTGTAATAGTATCGTGGAGGCCATAACGCTGAAAGAACCTCTGTCAGATTCTTGGTCTCGCCCTTCTACATCTAAAATGAGCCCCCATAAGATTGGAAACAATAGCCCTCTCTCGCCAACATTTACGCCAATAGAATCCAATGAATCGGCACAACTATTTAAAATTACTGATACGAGTAGTTTACCACAAAACAGCGCACAATTCACAAACACCAACATAACATTACCTAACAAAAATATTAAACTTAACATAAGTAACTGTAGCAACGTTACATTTAATATTTCTTAATTATTTTCTACTTCTTATTATTTTCTTCAATTTATAGATTATCTTAATGTGTTTTAATTGAAATAAAAATATTTTGTCATTATAAATTGTTTTCTTTTTCATTTTGTCATTTCCTCGCTGAGGTGGGATGAAAAGTTACGTACTGCACTCGAGTGGAAAGATTTTTCACCTTGTGCTCGTTTGTTTCCCTCGCTGACGCTCAGGATTCTAATTTAGAATCACTCGCTGCGCTCGTGATTCAAC